AGAACATTCTAAGACTCTAAAACACAAAAACTGCATATTAACTAGTTAAAATTAAAAATAATATACCTACCTAATTATCACCAAAAACTTTATCTCTCCTTAACATAATTTTGTCCAACACCATAATTATAATAATCTAATCCATTGGCTATTTTTAATACCCATTAGATGTTCCCTCATTAATAATTTAATCTAAATACTCAAATTAAGCAATTATCCCGCGCATTACACTATTATAATATTGGCTAGGACCTATCTCCAATATAATCATTAATAGGCATTGTTAATAATTCTTTCACTTATAATATTTATAACACTGAGTTTATATTATAATAGTTGAGATATAATACCATGTAGAATTTAAAAAATTAAAATCTCTTTAACTATGAAAGTGATCGCAAAAAATGATAAATGTGATTGAATAATTTACTTTTAAAAAAGCAATGCCAATCATCACATTAGTTAGGTATTAAAAATTCTAAAAACATATTTGAGTAACCTAATCTCCATAATAATTATAAATTTATATTAATCTGTAATGTAGTTACTAATGTCAAAATTAGATATCTTGTGTATTAAATAGTATTATGTTTGTTATAAAATAAAATATGAATATCTTTGTAGGCTTTATATAAATGTGTAAATTTAAATTTAAATTTTCCTGCCAATTACAAAAGGTTGGACCTAGATGTTCTGGCTGTCCTGTAATATAACTATAATTTATAAATGAAAATGATTATGTTATGCTATGATCAATATTGTGCACAGGTATTTTCAATGTTTGTGTGTTGGGGGTGGAAGGAGTTTAAGATAAATAATAATTACTTAGTTGTGACAAAATTAGGTTTGCAAAATAATTGGGTGCTTTTTTAATTCTCATTGACAAGAAACATTTGTTACAATATAAACAAATATATATGAAACATTTTTTAAATATTTAATCATAAAAATGATGGACAATAGGATACAATTTATTTTTATTTTTCCTGTCTAATTGCAGACATTCAGATGAGGTATTTGAACATTATTTGTGTGCAGCTTAAACTGCTATTAATTCTTCTATCTTCAATGGCCAATCCATTAAATACACGCGAATACACGTCTTTGCTTACTAGCTTACTATTTTGCGGTTGAAATTATATAAATATAAAAAAAAAATAATAATAACAATACCTTCAATGTGAGGTAGCCTACAACATGTTAGCCCTCACTGCGTGCGCCACTAGTTATGATTCTTACATCCACGCGTTGTTGTTTAGTACTTTATATTGTAAGTTTTTTATTGTTTTTTTTTTTTTTTTGTCAAACTTAACATACCAAATGCTTATAAACTCTAGAACTGCTATTGTTTCACAAACCACAAAGAATCTTAAATCATTATGTTTTGTTCTTAATATTATAAACAATTCATTACAGTCTGAGAATAAAAAATAAGAACATTTTACTACTTTTTACTATTACCTCTATTATGAGAATTATAATAATTTCTTGGAAAATTAATAGTATTATTATTTTTTTTTCGTATTTTTTCTTAGAATAACAATTGTTCTATTTTTAATCCATCGAATGGGTTTTGATTACTGTTCATATTGCAAGCTGTCATATTGAATTTTTGTAAACATATTTTTTTTTATACCAAAGTTGAATATAATAGGTATGTATTATCTATATAGGTTGAATTTTTTTTCGTTAGTACACAGGTGACAGGTGTGAGGATGTTTCATTTTGAGTGGTATCATATTTAAATAAAACTTTGCCCCTTTTATATAAATTATATAACAATGAAATATTATACATTTGAACAAAGAGAGGTAATAATAATATGTCAAACATAATTAATCCACAGTTTATCATAATGGTTTTTCTAAAATCAATTCAAATAGGTACATTTTTTTTTATTCGGAGACGAATAAAAGTTATTAAATATTAAATGTACAATTATTTTGAACGACTAAATGAAAATTACAATGATCTGATATTTTGATTATTAATATAATATTGGTTTTGTTATAAGTAGGTAGGTACATATGCAATGGTTTAGGTAGGTATTTGTTATTTAATTCATCTTTATAAATATTAAACTAGCTTTAAACTTCAAAATACAATACAAAAAACATAAACTGATAAAGCTACAAAATATGACGAAGTACCTATACGACTAATTTAATATTATATTAAGTTAAATTGTCGTATAATGTATCTTTCAAAGAGTAATAATTCATTTAAGCAAATGTTACGACAGAAAATGTTTATTTAACAGAGTAAAACGTCGTATCGTTTGTTTTTGAAAATATTAAATTAGTGATAAAATTAATTGACTTCAGATGGGTACTTATGTGTTATATACATAATTTCTAAGAACAAGAAAATTAACATAATATATTTACTCTTATTATTATTATGAGTGAGGTACCTATTTTATTAATTCATTCAATAACTTAATAGGCACTGTGTCAATATTATACTAAGTTTAATAATATTCAGTCTTAGTAATAATTAAAAAAATTATAACTTTTTAATATTAATGCAAAAATTTTCAGAACTTGTGAACCAAATGATCATGTTTGTTATGCTGTGGGTTGGCATTAGCATAGGTACTTACCAAAATATTGTATGAATATTGTTATGTGATAATATTCCATAGGAATGTGTTGATAACCATCGTGTTGAAGGTGTGGGTTATTTGTAAATTGTAGTTGATAGGGGAAAGTATTTTCTAACATTTATTGACATTGTTGATTGTACATTTGTGCTTATATATTTTCCGTTGATAGTGGTGTTTGTTGTTGATAATTTTTTTGAAACTGAATTGTGAGTCGTATACTCATATAATATTATTTCTGGCTGATTGTGTTATGGATATCTTGTTTATTCATTGATCGGTAAATGAAATGTTAGTATTATCAAATCTAAAACTGTTCTCAGTAAGTTTTTGAAATATACTATAATACATAACATCACTCATTTGTTTTTCTGTCAAAAACATATTTTGATTTTTATTCGCATACCTCTCAATAATTGCATCTTCAAAGGCTAAAATATCATGTAAAAACAAGCCAATTTTCACGTTATCAAAGCTTTTTCTTAAATAAAAACAAAAATTGCATCTTCAATATTTTACGAATAATATCACATTCATCATTTTCAACCATAGATTATCCAATGCCTTCTTGTAATTCAATACCATCTTAAATTTGCTATTGAGTGTTTATCAATTTTCATTTTAATATTTGTTCCAAACAATAAAAAACTTCTAAGATTTTTAGCCACACTACTAGCTGCACTAATACCATATTCAGAACCAATGTACTCGCACTTTGCCAACCTTCTCACGATTTTATTTTTAAACGACTTGTTAAATATCCATTCCTTCTGTTCGTTGAAAATATTGATTTAGTTCGTTAAGTTTTGAAAATATGTCGTTTAAATACGTAAAGTTAAAAGTAACTATAAAATAAAATAATGGCTCAAAATAAATACTGATTAATGAAGTAATTTATGAGAACTTCCCGTTTTCTCCCACAACTTCTCAAATAATCATAACCTTGTTTTGACTATTTTTACAGAAGTTCAAGACCTTTTCTTTTGTCATATGTATCGAGGGACTTGAAAATATCCATCGTAATAATTACGAATTACATGACGAATTATAAATATTCATTTTAAAACCCGTCGATAATTTTTGGGATTTATAATACCTACTCAATAGTTGATACTTTTATACATGTGTTTTAACCTTTTCAAAAATCATCAATTTCTTACACTCTGTGTAATTTAAAAAACTTCTAGTGACTCACGGTTTGAGAAATGCTGATCTAGATCATAACGGCAGTGATATCTACCGCCGCGGTAGTTCTCTTAAAATTTGAAACCTTCTGTGTCATATTTCTGCCAGATAGCGCTACCATTTACGATTTTTGTTTTTTCTCAAAAAGAAGTGACGTCAAACGCGCATAACGTGTTGTTTACGTCAAAAATATAATATTAAAATATGTTCAAACTATTGTCCTATTTTGTTAAAGTATGTATATTATCAAAAGTTTTAGAAAAATGTATAAAAATTAGTTTGTATTATGACTAGTTTCCATGATAAGCTTGATAAATGTAATTTTTTATTTGGAATTTTTCTTGACGTTAAAAAAAATAATTTGACTGTGTGGTTATAATAATTGATGATCATAAAATCATTTATTTTAGATATTGTGCATGTTGCATGTAAAAAGTATATTCAGTATTGTATATGCGAATAATTTAAGTACCTATTGTAAAGCGAACCGCAATAACCTAAATGCACTATGCACATTGCACAATCATACTTGAATAATATACCTACTACTTGAATATATATTCCATATTTCATACTCTTCACTTCTTCTTAATTTGATTGAATTAATTTTTATGTTTGATTTGAATTTTGAATCGCTGTAACATGTTTCTCCATTTTCAGAGTCAAAATGACAAATATATTTCTTTTAGATATGATTTACAATAATTGCTATATTCATTTATTTCTCAAAAAAAAGAACACTGGGCCTAGCCGAGTATTATCGTACACATATATGGTAAATGTAATAATATTATATTTTTTTATGTATATATTCGGGAGTTATTTTGGCGTTTTATTTAACAAAAATAATGGTTTTTAAAAAAATGTTTTTCAATTTACTTTGCCACTAACGCCATATTTTAGTACACAACTATCAACATTCATTTTAAATTTACAATATTGATACAAACTAATATATTCAATTTGTATGTATACTATACATTTTTTATTTAAATATTTTATATTTTATGATAAATACCTAACTTGATATTTTGAAAATTATAGTAATATAATAATATATATCATGTACATTTAAATATATCAACTTTATTTTAAGAAATGTATTATATGCATAAAAAATATTTTAGCAACAATTTACATTCATGGTCATTTTTTCTATAAAACTGGTTTCGATAAGTTTGTATTCATAATTCATATTTAGCCACTAGTAATCCTTCAGTCACTACTCACTACTCTCTGTTAGCTTTACATCGTCTTACAAGCTACAACACAGTGCACATAATATTTTGAGTAAAAATGATTTCAATTAATGATTGGAAATTCCTTTTGAAAGTTATTTTATTAATTTTATATTTCGATTGTGCAAGATGTGCAGGTAGTCTATAATAATTGTTTATATGTACTTTAGCAAGTTAAGTTTATTTTGGAAACATATTTTATTCAAAATACCTATTTTTTTAAGGCTGCAACAGTAATGAACTATTATATAAAGAAATTGGATGTAAACCTATTTTCGAAAATGGTTCGAATTCTTGTCCAGTGGCATACGACTGTGGTAAATTTTCTCGTTAGGGGGCAGGTACGTACAATTTTTATAGTTTTAATTTAACTTTTGTAGAAAACGTGTTTACAAGATCAAGTGACAAGTGTTATCTTAATGGGAATGTCTACACACCAAAAGATAATGTCTCTAAAATTGACTCTGCATTAAGCCTATGTGTATCCGATTGCTTCTGCGATCAGAAAACGAATGATAAGTAAAAATAAATGCATTAATAATCAATACGTATAGTTTTAGTTTGTTATTAAATTATAAGGTTTTTAATATTCGCTGAAATATAGTATTTTAATCGAAAAAATTTACTTAATTGGTATTATCGTCTAAAGTGCATTCTACTCTAATTTTTACAGTAAAACTACAGCTACATTTGTATGCGAATATGATCGTTGTCCATCTTATTTCACATTAACGGCCGAATCATGTTATTATAAATTTGACAAAAATTTATGCTGTGAGACTGAATTGTACTGTCGTAAGTTTCTTATTTATTTGAATCAAATGTTATTGGTTGCATGAAACTAGATCATAATATTATTTGAAGAATAAGAAGAACATAGTGCAAAGTATATAGGTAGCATTATAATGCCTATGGTTAATAGTTTCCACTTTCCATAATCCATATAACATGTACCTCTATATGATTTATAAGTCTAAAACTAAATATAGGAATAACCAATAATGAGTGTAATAAAATTTACTGCAGTATTCTAAAGTGTTCAAACTTATTCAATCTATTTAAATTCACTACCATCTGTCTTACCCATTTATATTTTCTAGTTATTACCAAAAGAATAAACACATCTAAAACCTTAATACAAAAGAACAATTTTTTTAAAAATTATAGTTAAATAATGTTCTTATATTGGAATATTTAATTTACATCTTAAAATCGAATGGTATTTTATTTAGTAAAATCAAAAATTTAAAAATTGTAGAACAACGCGTCTGCCTGATTTGAAAATCCGGTTACCGGTATTTTTCCCGAATCAAAATTCCCGAATGGACTTTTTCCCGAATGGTATTTTATCCGAAAATCCGAAAACCCGAAACCTTTTTTCCCGAACGCCTTTTTCCCGAATCGAAATTCCCGAATGAACTTTTTCCCGAATGGTGTTTTATCCGAAAATCCGAAAACCCGAAACCTTTTTTACCGAACACCTTTTACCCGAAAAAAGTATAATAACATAATAAATGCTGTGGCGTTATCATTAAATATTTTAAAATCGACAAATTATAATGCATATAAAAATAAAATTTATTTAAAAAAAACTAAAAAGTATAATAACATAATAAATGCTGTTATCGTTAAAAACAAAATTACAAAACAATATTATGTGCGATTGCCCTCAGAAATTGTAACGGCTGGTATGTATTAAATTCAGCAGTAATGGACATTATTCGCTTTTGAAAATCCCGCCATTTTCTTTTTGGTAGTGCTCTAACTTTTCGTCCTAAACTCAGCTCCGCGATCATTATCTCAGCATCAGCTTGTTCTTTTTGGATCTCACCGAGAGCGGAGTAAAGATCTGGATGATGTTTTCCAATAACAAGCTGGAAGCGATTGTGCCACCCCTCACTTACATTGTTGGTTTTGTGTGAACCAGTTAGAGCGGCTTGGTGCTGATTCCAAATTTCTGGCGGATAACGTGGAAGAATTCCTCGTCTTCGCCCTCTAGCTATTACTCCTACAACATAATTTTTTTCAAAATATTCCAAAATTGGTAATAAATCTTCAGGCGCGTCATTTTTCAAAAGCGAGAAAATGCGAGGTACTTCAGCCAAAGGTACGAATGCCAACGCTAGCATCATATGACTGTACATTTTTAATGAACGATCATCAGGGTCATTGTATGTGGCTTGAAGACCAACAGATTGAATTTGTCGATACATTGATTGACCGAAATGAAAAAAGCAACAACTGAGAGGACAATTTGGATAAACTTTTTTACAAGCGTTGATTATAGATTTTTCAAAGTCAGTCATGATCTTAGCCGGTTCACAAACAATCCTGTGTTCGTTAAATGAAGATTGTACTGCTCTTAGCACAGTGGCATACTGAACCGTTTCTTTTGACGACAACAGTGCATATACAAATGGAATAGCAACTGTGTCATGAGCATCGTGTTGTTTGCATGTTCCCAGAATCGTGAAAACTTGTGTGAAAATAGTGGGACACACCTAAGAATTATGAAACAAAATCATATTGTTATATAATTACATTCAATGCCTACTTCAATAGATAAATAAATAAGAGATATTAATAAGAGATAATTAAGAGATATTAAGAAATGAAGAATAGCAAGTATCAGAATTTCAATAAAACGTTTAATTTTTCAAATATTAAAAATCTTAAGAGACATTTTTGTTAAACGCCGCGTCATGACACCCGGACACCGTTGTTCGCCGCGACGCTCGCGACGTATACGACGTATACCGGCGTACCCGTACCAATACACCACTGATTAACACATCATAGACATATACCTAGGTAATAAAGTAATAAATATAATAAAATCCATCAAACCTTAAAAGTCCCGTCTAAAAACCAGCAATCACTCCGGGCCAATAATTCTAAATTTCTCCGAGTCGAGAACACAACGACTCTACCTTCATTGACGGAATCATCATCAAGTGAATCGTAAATTAAAAAATGTTCACCCGTAAGCGTCTTTTGATACCGATCGGGAAGTGTACCAAAGTCATTAAGTGTTTTTGGATTGGGCGGCAAATTTTTCCTTAGGTATGTGTAAAATACATAAAAATTAAATTGGATTCGTGGAAATCTGAAAAAAATAAATACCTCCGGACTTTACGCATTGATTTTTTTAAATTATCACGGTTAGGTAGTTGACTGAGAACCCCGTCAGATAAGCCAGCCATCTCTGTACGTAATATTTGAGCAGGTGGTAGTTGTGGTTGGTCCTCAGCTTTCCGCTTCAAAGAATATTTGATGATCTCTGCTTCACACTCTTCTTGGTTGGGAACATGGTCGTGATCGTCCAACGTTGATTCTCGTACAAAATAATTTTTATTTTCAAAAATATTGAACGCAGTAATAACTCTTGCTTTGCACTCTTTTTTACGTAACTTTTGACATTCCCAGTATGTTTTACCGTTGACTGGTAATTTAGAACGCACATAAATAAAACCTCCACAAATTAATTTTGTTTCACCCAAAATTTTAATTTCAGCCATGGTGATAGATTAAAATAAAATTAAAATGAAAATTAAATATTATATTAAAATAAAAGTATATAATCTTATATTATTTACAATAAAATGCACTGGAAAGTATAACGACGGTCGATAGCACTCGAATAACGCGGCTTTACGATTACAACGATTACGTTTTACTTGTATACCATAGATTGAATAGTTCTACTAATCTACAAACGATAATAATAATAATAATATCGGTGTAAAATATAAATCAGCGACGGTAAAGTGCAATAATGGCAAACATGCGATTCTACATGTGCCCGTTTATCGCACGGAGAAAAAAAAGATTAGAAAAGATTAGAAAAGATTAGAATGTATAGCAACAGCTGTATTTTAGTTATAATGTATAGAAAATACATACCTAGTCATTACAGCTCACAGTTATAACAACATTTTTAAATTTTTAAAAATTTTTATTTCGGGAACAATAACCGTCGGGAAAAAGTCGTTCGGGAAAAAAGGTTTCGGGTTTTCGGATTTTCGGATAAAACGACATTCGGGAAAAAGTTCATTCGGGAATTTCGATTCGGGAAAAACGGCGGGTACCGAAAATCCAATTGTGTTAAGAGGACATCGGATGTGTTGTCTCTGTCTAAGTCACAAATGTCATTCCAGCCGCAAAATATATGTGTAGTCAAACAATATTGGATAAATATTGATGTATATAGATAAATGTGGAGAGGGAGTAAGAGTCTAACGAAAGGGAGTTTACTGGGTTTTTCGTCATTAAAAAAGAAAATTTTATAGCATGAAATCTTCGTGTGTGTGTGTGCTCACATTATCAAGTTGTATACACATTATATATATATATATTATAATACCCACTGAGAGAAAATTGGGGCCCGCCGGTAGTGACATTTGTGGGATGCTCATGGGGGCCTGGATTTTTCAAAATTCTGTAAACGCTTACATATTGGGCTTCATGAAAAGCCCAGACCCGGGGTGACCCCCCCCCCATACAATGTTTATGTATATTGTATAATGTATATTGTATAGATTGATTTATGTTTTATAAATATGTACGAAAATTGCAGCCCTTATACATTTTCCGCCAGAGAGAACTGCCTCCTTTGCCCCCTCCTTAAATGCCCTCCTGTATGACTGACGAAATGGTCTTCTTCTTTATACGCAGTGATCTAGGTACATGTTTTATGCTCAAGCTGATTGTATAGTGTACACAGTAATCAGTATAGAAAATAGAAACCCTTAATTATATTATGTCAATAACTAAGTAAACGTAAGACCAACAGGTTATATTGGGCTTAAAAATTAGTATTATATTATATACAATATGCAATGCACTTGTAACATACTACTTATATTTTTTAGCTGAAGATAATAATGCGACCATTCACGAATGTATTTATGATGGCAAAACTTATAAGGATGGACAACAATTTAATATTAAAAATGATTACCTATGTGTGTGTTCACCAGAATTCAATGGTAAATAATGCATTGTTAATAAAGTTTAAGACAACTTAAAGTAAATAAGAAACTGAGTGGAGTTAAGGATTTCTCTATTGATTTTACAATGATGAGTGTTATTTAAAATTTATTTTTGTGCCATCACTTTTTGGAACAGTAAAAATTCATACCAACATTGAGGGTGGTTCCTGATAGTTAATTGGATCTACTTGATACTTTTGAGAGGTTAAAATAAATAATTCCTAGTAATTTTAAAATTAATTGAGAAAAACAAAAATAAACTAATAAAAAAAAGCAAAATGGTACTCAAAACTATTTTTGACAAAATAGATTTTGTCTTTTTACTTTAAAAATTAACAACTGTGAGTCTTAAAACTTTCAACAAATATTCATATTAACATTTACTAGAACTAGAATTTATTCGTAAAAGCAATTTTCAACAATTGATTTTATTCAAATATAAATAATAATCGTTGATAAATATTAATTATACTAGAGTTCAGCATTATATCTAATTGATACAATTTTCAAAATGTTTTGATTTTTATCAAGCCATAATTTATAGGCTTGTAATTTACTATTTTTTTTTATTTTGAAAACAAATCCATCCTTAATCAAAAAGCTTGTCAATTGAATACAAGTTTCCTCACATGTTATTATTACTGGAATTCTAAAAAAAGCTGAGCGTTAATCTACATCAATATTTTTTGAAAGTTTAAAATAAGAGTTTTTATGGAAATTCTTGAAAACGTGTTAGTTAAGTATTTTGTAGTTCAAAGTTAAAAAAAAAATTAATGTACACACCTAAGGTATTTAAATTTAATACGAGGTTACATCTAAGAGTAGCAAGTGTGGAATTGAGAAACAATTACCCCTTAGAGCAGAGGTATTCAAACTGGGGGCGTCGAGGGAGTTGTCGAAGGGAGCCGCATAGTATAATTGAAAACCAATAAATATTTTTACGAAAAACGTTTACTATTACCATTGAGGCACACCGAAACGTTGAATTGTCTACAACAATCATTCGCTAAATATAGCTTTACTTTTTTTTTCATGTAATATGGTAAATAAATAATAAAAATTGTCATTTATAATTTGGGAGCCGTCAACATTTTATGAAGACTTAAAGGAGCCGTGGGATGAAAAAGTTTGAATACCTCTGCTTTAAAGTCTAGATCAACCGTTGCCCTTGTAAACATCTTTTTATTGTTTTTTATCTTCTATTGTTGTTTTGGGGAATAAAACCTTATCCACCAGATTCCATGAAGATTTAATAAAACAACAATAATTGCATGAATTCATCTCAATATTTTCAAAATATGCATATAAATATTCATATTGAAAAATTATGGAACAAATTTATCATATTGTGGTTATTGGTAGTCCATCTAAAAAAAAAAGAAAACCTTTAAGCTTTAGACATAATTAAGTAATGGGGATGTTAACCTTTTAAAACAAACTGTTAGGTGCTTAAAATATGATTAATACATTGTAATATTAAATTTCTTGAATATGTATAGGTACGGCTAATGATAATTTGTGCAGAAGATTCAAATGCAATTATGAACTTCTTTACATGGAAAATATTTTGAATCGAGACGCTCCTCTTTATTTTGAAGAAAAGGATGGGTGTCCTATCTACTGGTATCAATGTAAGTTTCAAAAATATAAATTTGTTATTTGCTAATTAGTTATCAGTTATCATTTATCAGAAATGATAAGTTTATTATTAAATAATATGTATAATATAATCGTATTTTTTAGCTGAATATGAACCCGATTTTGGTACTGTTGAAGTAACTGGAACTATTAATTCCAGTAGCCATGTGTGCAAATATGGGAATCTTAGTGTACCAATAGGCCAACAATTAAAGATTGACCGACTTTCAACTAAGAATTCTGAATCAAATACAGATAAAACAATATGTACTTGTGACACCCCTCCGTTAATAACTTGCATTACGGGTAAAAAAGATATTATGAATGATAAATATAATATGCATATAATATAAATTTGCTGTAAATATAGAAATACATATCAGTAGAATAAGACGATAATAATATTATCTGTACTTATATTAATAATAGAATTCAATTATCCAACTTTTTATTCGAAGTATTCATAAATCATAATTTTAATTCAAGTATTAAATATTTTTATACTTGTTTAATTTTTTTAAGAAAAATGAATAAAATAAACTTAAAATAATCTGTTTGACTAAAATAAATGAGTAAGTTCTAAATGTCTGAAATATTCCAATATTATAAAATAATATCATGTCTTTTTTATATAAAAGGTTTTTTAAAATTATTTATACTTTGTAATTCTAACAGTAACTCAACAATAATAATAAAATTGACATTATTGGCGTAAAAGCAAAATGTAAGACTAATTTTGGGGTATGTAACTACCTTGGTTTTTAAATACATCAGTAACTCTCTTAGATAATTAATACAAAATAAAATAATATTATAATCATAATACAACAGCAACTAGCTACAATTTTAGTTATACATTTCACATCCGGAACCTCTAAGTATTGTAAAATATTAAAACGTAAGGTAAGTGTTTCAAATAGAGTTATGTATTACGTTTTATAACGATATTTTGCAATGTACTACACAAGATGGCGCCACATAATCTATTCACATCGCTTGCTAAAAAAAACGTTATGAACTCTAAATTATTTTTAATCAACATAACATTTTTATGCAATGATAAAATATTATTATTTTTATTATTTAAAAATATTTACAAAAAAAAAAAATGGCCTATCATAGAAGCACACTAGGGAAAATTTCCAAGTTTGATCAAGTTAAAAATATGTCAACTACTTTTGTTTATTAAATATTGTTATAGTTCTTTAAAAATAGTGATTTTAAAACAATATCTTTTACAAAAATCACAATATCCAAGTAAAATAAACAATGATATGGTAGATTGTGCTTCCGTATAATTATCCTATTTTGTAATCAATTGAAGTTTTTGCCTAGTTATCAAACAAATATCAATTTAAGCCATCTTTTATTAGTCAAGTTAAAACCTAAAGTCGTCTAAACACTCTAAATCGTAGTACTCTAAGTACCTAGTTATACTAAAATATTTTATTTTGGCACTTTACAATAATTCACATAATTTTGAATTTGGTATTCATCAACAGTATTAATTAGCATTGCCTATAATATTGGTGATGACCATTAGTTATTATATTTTAGATTTACTGAAATGCACAATAATTTTGTGATTCTTATGAGTCATGACTATGGTGTAACTATAAGTTATGACTATGATTCAGTTTATTGATACTCAAAAAATCATAAGGTATGCTTATTATGTTCAGCTTTATCATACCTTTACATTTATGTTTTTATTCGTGTTGTTTTTGTGAAAATTAATAATTAACATAAACTATAAATAACTTACGTAATTAAAACCTCACTATTAAATCTCCGATCTCCTACTTAATTTATGAAACTAATTTTGATTAACAAACGAACTTACACATATTATTTATATGTTTACTTGCCGTAGTTTTGTGTGACAGTTTATTAAATGTGAAAATCTCTTAAAAAATAAAAATACTAGAACATTATTTTTAAGTATAGGTACCTACGTATAATATTATATTACAATTATATTTCACAATCACACTAAAATATTAAGTCTTGTACATTTTCTATATTATATTTTTTTTAAATATTAAGGCGAATTCAAAATGAATTCTCAATTTATATTCCTGCTTAATTCAAATAGAATTTGGCCGATTGGCTGGCGTTTAAACTAACTTTGAATAATTAGAAATGCCCGCCCGATGCCCCGAAGAAAATTGCGCAGGCGAGTTAAAAACTTACCGAGGCCTTAAATGATAATCCAAGATTATCCAAGTTATTTAAATTTCCCCGGTTTCTACTTTAATGCGACTTTGAATGCTGACGAACTTAAGTATCGCCTTCCTCCTGGGACTCACAGCTACAATATATATATTTTTGCGTCTCTCTGTACCACCTCCTTCCATATATCAAAGGGGGAAAGGTTTAAAATCTCATCAGGACTCGCGAGCTCTGTCTTTGGTATCTCAACAACCTGTTATCTAGAATCTAAATATATGTATATAATAATACATAGTAGGTATATTAGCTTATGTACATTGTATATACATACACATATATATATATATACATATCGTATATTAATATTATATCAAAATCGAATTATCGTTATAAATGCAATGCACGTTTCTGAATTCCTCACTCAAATCGATACGGATTATATATATATATACGCCTACATACAGTATACCTATATTATAATAAAATGCATAAAGTGACGCTATTTTAAAATTTATTTTCTTTAGCCCTGCAGTGGGTAGTTACAGAATGCTGAACAGGTGAGTTTTTACTTTTTTTACTGTATAGTATATAAGTTATAACTTGTATGTAGATATGGGCACCTAACTTAATTATGATTTTATATAGAAAAAAACTTTTATCGTTTATTTTCGTTTAAATATCTACATATTTGGTTTTTAATATATTTTTGATAAATATGCATATACTTTTGTAATTATTTCAATACTAAATATTATAAGCATATTATTTGTATTAAAGCAGACCTACACGTCTAAAATGTATACGATTTAATTATTATTGAATGTCTCATTTATTATACTATTATTGATTGACAGCAATATAGTATTACAAGAAACCATGGAAGTTACTTTGCTAAAAAGTAGGTTTCTAGTTGATTTCGTCATTGTGTAAGTCAATGTAAAAGAAGTGTTAACGATAAATTATTAGATATGACATACGATTATGAGAAATGTGTCAGCCTCTATTTCTAAAGATGTTTTATAATTTATATATACCAGATATTATTAGTAACACATTTTTCTATTATGATTACTGTATGTCAATTTGGTTTATGCAGAAAGCATCGCTAATAATAATATCACATATTATAAGAATTATTTTAATTTTATGTAACTAAAAAAAAGTATTTTACATTTTTATTTGGTATTTATGGACGGATACTGAAAATTTAGAATTATTTACTATTGAATAATAGTAATAAAATGCCTCTATAAAATATGTATGATGTAAACTAAAAATAAATAAGTATAATGTTTATCTATCAATATTTAAATATTATTATTAATTATTTTTTTTTTAAATATTGAATTCTTTTGTTATTGATTATAATGAAATTATTTAAATTCAGATTATTGCTGTAGTAGGCATCTATAGTGTTGTGTAATATATCCAGCGCAAAATTTTAAATTTAGACATTTTTCGTTTATCAAATGTGACAGTTATTATAAATAAAGTAAGTAGTTAATGTTAACTGTGCAATGTAACTTCATTCAATGATCGTATAGAAACATAAAGGATACATTCAAATGTATATTTAGTTCGACAGTATCCTATATTATGTCTCAATTGGAATGTAAATTATAAAATTTGGATCAGTTATTGTAGTGTGCAGTCTATTATTAAGAGGTAAAAACATCTATATTACGGTCAAGTATGTTTTTATACTATATTTATTATATTAAAAGTAATCACAATATTAATAATGTGCAATCTACTTTTCAGAGGAAGTTATTTAAAGAGGTTTCACTGCATTATTCTCATTCATTTATAAGTCAATATCGACGTACCTTAGCAGAGTATGAATAGGATTGTGGTATAAATAGTTTTAAATTATTAGTCTAAATATTTCATTATTTTATTGTGTTGTAAATAGAGTTTAAAAGTTTGAATAAAGTATATGCATATCTTATGAGAAACCTAGAAATACATTTAGCTTTTTGAAAAGCATAAAAAAAAGATAAAAATATTTAAAGAATGCGCGGAAGCCTATAAATAAATTAAAATGAAAACAAATATTTGGAAAATTGTATTGTCTATAATAAGTAAAAAATTAAGTAATTGATAAATATTTCAAGTTCTTACGATTAATATTTTTTGAATTATAACAAAATAACAACCATCTTAAGACCAGAGAGCAAAGAATCTTTATTATACGTTTGAATATCCAATTTCGGTATCACTTGAACTTCAAACATTCATAAGTCATAAACTCATAATAAATCAATGTGTCTTTGCGCTAAACGGCTGAACTGCTTTATAAAATTCAAAAATTCTCTTAGAGAATCTTGCATTGAGTGTTTAGGTATAACAGATACATTTTTTATTAATTTATAATTACATTATACTTATAATATACACAATTTGAATGTGTTTCGATAACGGATATTGAAGTTCACATTCAAAGTGTCAAGACATAACAAAAAAAAAACATCATTCCTCGTAGATTGCGATATGTATTATTAGTATTATTTATTTATTTTATTTTTTTATTTTACATTTTATACGATGTGTATAGGTACCTAAATTAATTCATTTAATCATATTACAAGGCTTTAAAACTAACAAATATTATTGATGAAAATGATTTAATCTTATTAAAGTAAATAGCCAAAATGTAATATTTTTAATTCACAAATAATAATGAAATTAACTTTGTTATATTATGTTTAAATAGGGGAATGAGTTTTTGAAATAATTAATTCGAATTTAATGTTGTTGTAAAAGTTATAATTTATGTAGAATATGTGACGAGTAGAAATTTTCCGACAAGTTAAATTTTAAGGTATAACCCTTATGAGCTTCAGAACTTTTGCTATATAGCTATTGTTATATTATAACCCATAAAACGATTTGCCGTACATTACACGTGTAACTAATATTAGTAAAGGCTATTATACAGTGCATAGGGTTAAGATAAATGCTTATAATACATTATAATAGGTAAATTTAAATAATAATGTTTATATTGTGAGTTTAATTGGAGACATTTAAAACGTTTAATTATACTCAATGTGTTTTTTTAATTCCAATAATAAATTGGGTATAATAAATATACTGGTTGGTGCCTTTTTATTTTAACATTCGTCACAGTTATAATAAAAAGGTTGGAAAGTCAAATTAATTTATTTGGGTGTTTGAAGTTCAAAATTATTTGACATTGAATTAAAATAAATAAAACAACGAATTCTCTCGATCGATTTTCATATTTTGTAGATAGATACTTTAAATTTCCACCAAATG